TGGGCTAACATCCGTTTTGTCGTAAATCTTGAGACCATGATATAGTAGGTGATTAATTTCAGGGCTGTTTGGATGATCAGCTTTATCATAGATTTTAGAAGGTGGGTCCCACTGACCCGAGTATAGTGTCCCGAAAGTACGAGTCTCTGTGGTCTTCTGATTGGGGGCCACAGAGTTGTCTGGATATCGTTTTCAGGTTCATTGGCGGTCTCATTCTGACTTGTTCTAGGTGACTGAGACTGATGGTGCACATATTTTGTGTCCTGGTCCGGTGGGATGTGGACATCTTTTGCATCGTGTTCCATAGCATCCACAGCCTAGTATGCAAACAAAAAAAGAGTAAAGGAAAGTGTACAGAATGAAAGGCATATATTTAACTCATTTAACATCCAGGGTATAAGTGAAAATCACCTGGTCCGTAACATAATGGTCATGTGGGACAAGTACCCACGTCTTACACAATTTGGAATTGTGGACATCCTCTGAGCCGTGGTCCATATCATCCACGTCCTAAAATGATAGCAACCAAATCGTACAATGATAATGGAAACTAGTTAGTCAAGGTTGAATGCGGGAACATTGTATGTGAAAGCGTGAATGACTGAACATCACCTGGTTGTCATCTGAATTGTGCTCCTTAGTGGTCATCTCAGGTGAGCTATGGACGGTGTCTGTTTTGTTTTCCAGATCATCCACATCCTACCATGAGAAAAGAAAGGGGGTTATTCATGTTAATTAAGGTGGTCTCATTAGTAGGAACTGAAACTTGTAATTAAATGTGAAAGAAGGAATGATTGAACTTCTGGTATGTGGTATTCATGTCATCTTCTGAACTTTGTTCAGGTGAGCCATGGATGGTGTCTGTGTTGGTTTCCATTGCATCCACATCCTAAAATGAAAAACAGAAAATGTGGTCCATTAACAGAAACTGAACTCAATTCCAGTAGCAGGAAACGTGAATGACTCACTGAACTTTACCTGGTCTGTGGGATTGAGGTCATCAGTGCTCAGACCAGTGTCCTTCGAATTGTGGTCAGCTGAGAGATGTCCAGTGGTGGTGTGGATGGTTTCGTTGGAAGCATTCGTGTTCATGTTTTCATAAGCCTGGCGGTGGAGATGAGCTGTGTACTGACTTATTATAGGTGAGTGGGGCTCCTCATGATCATCTCTATCCATAGCATCCACATCCTATAAGGAACACATAAACATAGTATGTATTTTATTTTCATCTATTGTACTTTAAATTAATTGGCTGGAGGCGGATTGAACATCACCTTGTCAGTTGGCGGATCGATATCGAGAGGTTGGACGTGTGAAGGCTCAACACCGCTCTGATGTGTGGGAGGAATATCCTATAAGCAGAAGTGACAGGGACAATAAGAAACTAATAGCAAAGACTGTAAGAGTCTGCATAAACAAAAGAAGGTAAAGTTTGTTAATTCCTGCTACCTGTTTTTCCAAATGAGATGTCCGATGCTTCTTGGTACGAGATAGAAGTGTATGAAATGATGATTTTCTTCAATGAGCTTTTCTCTTCATCTTCTTTAGTACTTTTTGCATCTGTTTCATCTACTTTTGAAGTGCCAACACAATCTCCGTAAGTTGTACGTTGGTAAAATTGTTGGCATTTGAGCGTGTGAAGTAAGAACTTATGCGCCTTTGCTTCCTTGAAGACGTCTCTTTTTTGATGAGCGGCTTTGGTTTGAGAGGTTGTTTTACCCGAGTGAGCTTCTTCTTCCCGTAACGGTGACCACGATCTTTAGGCTGTTTAAGCAAAGGAACCGTTGTTACCCCACCAGGCCACATAGTTTTGTTGAAAGTGTAGCTATCAGATATCAAATGTTCCATGTAAATAATGCGACCATCCTTTGTTTTATTGGACCACTCGCCCCAACCAGGCGCTGCCTAGCTTTCGATAGGTATGACCGGTGAGACAGATAGCTGAGAACATGATTAAGAGGACATAAAATTAATCATCAAAATCAATGGATGAAACAATTCTTATCTATGTATGATTCAACATCGTATGACTAACAAATGAAGCTTTAATCACAAATTGGATTGTGGACGTGGAAATTATGTAACCAGTGTAAAATAGTTTGAGATACAAGTGGTTAGTCTCAGTTTAGTATCTTACTGGTGAATTAGCAAAGTCGATGAAAACCTTAGTTGGGGGATTTTTTAAAGGAAAACACTAGCCTGGTTACTTAAAGGAAAACACTAGTCTGGTTACTTACATTAGAGGAGAACACTAGCCTGGTTACTTAAAGGACATTTTTTAGAGGAAAACAATAGCCTGGTTACTTACTTAGAGGAGAATTCGACACGAAGGATATCAAGAGCACTGATGGAGCCGTGTTGGGGTAGGTAACCATCTTAAAGTCCATCAGCGTGCGGTGGTCGGGAGGAGCAGAGATGAACTCAAGCAGATGGGGGATAGCGCGGAAGGCAACCAATTGGAGTGTAAGAGGAAAGCCCTGCAGACGGAAAGATTGCTGCTTCAGTTTGTGCACGAGCCAAGCGACAGGATCCTTGATCTTCGGTGGAGCAGGCTTGGGTGGTTTCATGCACGAGATGGTCTTCAAGAATGATTCTCTACCCCCAAGGAAAGGCAAAGAAGGTTTTGAGGCTTGAAAGCATGCTGACATATCGAGGAGTGGGGCGGGGTACTTGTTTGTGCGCAATGAGAACAACGTTGACTATGATAATCAGAGCCATACAAATCTTCTTCCAACCAGACATGTTCTTCTCTTCCTCAAGCATCTGACAAATCTCAGCTATAGTTATGATCTTCCTCTTCCCAAAAAGTTTCTTCCAAACACCATCTTTGCCCGCAACAACTGACTTGGCTGTGTCAGGATGATAACCTTCTGGAAAAGAGCCACAATTCAGACATGTTACGGTTCCAAACTCTTTGAGACCGTAACGGAGAGGGTTCCCACCAAAAACTGACCAGAGCGTGTGCTCGTCCTCATACAGTAGTTGTCGAGTGAGGAACGAATGAATGAGCTTTGTAGATACTGGAGCTTAACGGGAAGGAATGTCGAATAGCTTTCCAAAAGAAGACTGACGGATGGTTTTGAACTCCGGAGTGTCTCTGAGAAGATGACGAAGGAATGAGAGGATCTCCGGCGAAGAGTATATGTTAAGTTTGTTGATGGGGAACCTATCAGTCGCAAATAGCCTCAACGGGAGACGCAGATCTGGCTGCATGTTTGCTGAGAGTGAATGAGAAAAAACATTAAACCATCAGAAATCATCTTCAAGGTCTGCCACCTAGGAAGAAATACTAAGATTGAAACGGCGAAAGATAAAAACAAAGAAAAAACCAAGAATTGGAAATCCGAAACAAACCCTAATAATGTTAAGAGAAAAAGCACGGGGTCGATTGAAACGGCGAAAGATAAAAACTTTATACAAGAAATCAACAACAAATCGAGAAGAGGATTAGAAGGAATAGCAAAAATACTAACCGGAGGGAGACTGCGCCGGATCTGAGTCAGGAGAAGCAGCAGATTTCTTCTTCGCCGTCAGCTGAGAAGACTTTGCTTTCTTCTTCGCTATTAAACGTCATCAATTGTAGAAGAAATTGATTTCGATAAAAGATGGGTTTCCAGGACGATGAAATAAGGTAAAAGGGACTTTCGAATAGGGGGAAGTAGAAGTAATCGGATCTGTTTTTGTGTGTTTGATTTGTCCGAAAGAGTAAAGAAGGTGGAATCAGAGTTAATTTCTCTGTGGTTAGGTCAATGTGGTTTGGTAAGAGACGAGGATAAGGATGACTTTTAACAGTGATAATATGTTCCTCAAATGAGAAGTGTCTAAAGGAGTAATTCATAAGACAAAATATGTCTAAGAAGATAAAAAAATCTTTTTTCTTGATCAAAGTTTGGAATGAGTATAATAACTTGAAAAAATTAGTTGTGTACTATCATTGTATTATATACTAATATATAATATACTTAGCAGTTAGTTTGAGAAAAGAAAAGTTGAGTATTGTCCATTTATACTTTCATCATCTCTAGACTCTAGTCTCTCTTTTTTCTACTATAATACTTTATTTTAAAATGAAATTTTTTCAACTTTTCATTTTCAATTATACAATAAATTACGAAGTAAAACTACTCTAAATAAAATAATAATATTTATTTATTTATTTATTCATTATTCTATATGAAAACAGAAAATATTCTATATGAAAACAGAAAACATAATAAAAGCGAAATAACTTAGTTTTATTGTGAAATGATTCAAATTTGAAATAAAAATAGATTAATATTTTTCGACAAAATAAGAGTTTATGTATATTAAAAAATCAAAGTGGGAATACAATGTTTGATGGTGTGAATTAACCAAAATTATTACATAATCATATATTAAATGTTTTTACGATGTAATAAAAATAAAATAGATATTTGGAACAATAATATGTATTCATGATATTCTTTGGGACATAGATATTTTATATTAGATCATGTTAAGTTTTAATAAAGGATTGACTAATTATTTTGTATAGCTTTTGATTGCTATTTGTTTCATAAAAATGGAAAATGGACAATACACATGAAACATTTTTCAACGAAAAAAAGAATCTCACTATATTCAATTTTTTTTGGTTTAGCTTAACATCGCTGTTAACTTATTTGGTGGACATTAAGAACAGTTTTTTAAAACAATTTATTGGAACTTTTGGATAAAATGAAAAAAATATTATAATATTTTTTAAACCTTGAAATACTTACATAAATATAATGGTAGTAACATAGATTACCGACCAGATATGGTGATACCACATGCAGTAAGTCATTATCATTTAAAGCCAGGTCGTTCCAAATAGGCTATTTAAATTAATTGAAAGAAAAGTTTAAGAGTTAATCTTTTTCCGACCAAACCTATTTTTCTAATAATAATAATTAAATTATTTTCTTATCTCTCTCTCTCTCTCTCTCTGTATCTATCCATCTATCTGCTTTTAACGTTTCTTTTGAAAACTATAAGAAAAAGCAGGGACTTCGGATTCCTTTTTCTTTTCTGGCTGAAGAAGAGAGAGAGAGAGAGAAGAGGTTTGCATCCCTGAGATCGGCGGCGGAGTTATACGACCGTCTTTCTTCACGGAGACGAAGAGGCAGCGATGATTGTCTCTGTTTCTTCGTTTTCTCTCTCCGATCTGGTCTCTCTGAGCCGGTGAAGAAGAAGAAGAATAAGCTCCCCCCGCCGATCGAATCTCGCATCTCCTTCTTTGCTCAAAAGAGATTTCTTTTCTTCGTTTGATCCCATCCAGGTTATTATTATTTATTTTTGCATTTCACATCTTTGGAGAATAAGGTTGTTGTTCTTGTCCTAGATCTGTTGCATATAGTTCTTGTCGGAATATAAAAGCTTGGTTGTGAATTTATGGTCCAATGGATCTTAATGAATCTAATTCGAAGATCTTGTGTTTATGTCTATCAAAGTCTTACCCCTGGGATGTTGTTAAAAAATAAAAACATGATTCTGATTGCAGTTATTGGGTAATGCTGTAAAAGCGATGTCCTTTAAAAGCATTCTTCGTGATCTGAAGGAAGTGAGGGATGGGCTTGGAGGGATCTCTAAGCGAACCTGGTCAAAGTCTTCTCACATTGCTCCTGATCATACGGTGACACTGTCGGAAAACATCCCGCAGAGCCCTTGGGCTTCTTTACCTCCTGAGTTGCTCCATGAGATTATCAGGAGGGTTGAAGAGAGTGAGACAGCTTGGCCCTCTCGAGCAGCCGTTGTCTCTTGTGCTTCCGTCTGTAAATCATGGAGAGGAATCACAATGGAGATTGTGAGAATCCCTGAGCAGTCTGGGAAACTCACTTTCCCTATCTCATTGAAACAGGTAAATAGAGTTTCCAAACCTTGTTCATCATCATATTCAAAGGTCTCAGAGTCTCTTGTTTGATTTGTGATCACAGCCGGGTCCGCGTGACCTTCCTATTCAATGTTTTATTAAGAGGAACAGAGCAACCGCTACATACATTCTCTACTATGGCTTGATGCCTTGTGAGTTATCTTTATCTCTTGACAAAAAGTTTCCCTCAACAATGGTTCTGATCATGATCCTTATCTGAGTTTCAGCTGAGACGGAGAACGACAAGCTGTTGTTAGCAGCAAGAAGGGTTAGAAGAGCGACATGCACTGACTTTGTAATCTCTCTTTCTGCCAAAAACTTCTCACGAAGAAGCAGCACTTATGTTGGCAAGCTAAGGCAAGCAATTACATTTGGTTTAACCGTTGAAAGCTCCCTTTTCTAAACATGATCTACTTTTATTGTTGGGATAGGTCTGGTTTTCTAGGAACGAAGTTCACAATATGTGACAACCAAACAGCATCATCCACTGCACAAGCCCAACCTAAGCAAGCATCTCCTAAGTTACCTGCTACTAGCCATACCTCAGGAACCATAACCTATGAGCTCAATGTTCTTCGCACAAGGGGACCTAGAAGAATGCATTGCGTTATGGACTCTATACCACTCTCTTCTGTTATCTCTGAACCATCACTAGTTAAAGAAGAAGTATCTTCCTTGACTTCACCAATAGGCGAAACCAGCTCAAGAGACAAAGAGACACCTGGTATCTCTCCAAGCTTGTTGGATCAGCCGCTGGTTCTCAAAAACAAATCCCCAAGATGGCACGAGCAGTTACAGTGCTGGTGCCTCAACTTCAAGGGGAGAGTGACCGTTGCTTCGGTTAAGAACTTCCAGCTTGTGGCAGACATTGACCCTTCTTTAGATGCGCTACCTGAAGAACACGAGAGAGTGATCTTACAGTTTGGCAAAATCGGCAAGGACATTTTCACCATGGATTATCGTTATCCTCTCTCTGCTTTTCAAGCTTTTGCTATATGCATCAGCAGCTTTGACACCAAACCTGCTTGTGAAGGGTAAAGTTAACTGCAGGGTAAGATCCATCTCTGCAAAAGGCTTTTCTGATTTTCAGATCAAGCCAGGAAAAAAGCTTATTTTGTATGTAGCAGCTCTTTGAACTATGCTTTAAAACCGCCTCTCCTAATTCACTGTGACGAAAACTTGATGGGGATGTCGGTGGATAAGCTTTTAATGAAGTTATGATTGTTATATTCAACGTAATATGTAAAACAGAAAGCATTACACAACAACATATGATCGATCATTCACAATCAAACTTTCTCATCTCTGCGTGGAATAAGTAAGAAATTCAACTGAAGTAAACTGAAATGGTTGGCGCGGGTTAGGGATCCTGCAATCGAAAAGATTAAAGAGTCATGCGAAGGGCAAGCACAACTTTACATCAAAGTAGGTAATGTGAAAGTGAAGGAGAGATATTATAGGTTTGTGAAACTGAATTGTTTTATTAGTATGTGAAATACACGTATATATACTGAATACATAAGGCATACTAGGTCTAGATGAATGACTATATTACCCTTTATACATACATATTCTATACGCCCCCTCAAGACGGAGGGAGTGAAACAACTCCAATCTTGTTCATTAATTATGTGAAGCGTGCGCGAGGGACAGGTTTGGTCAATGCATCTGCAAGTTGATCTTTCGTGGAGACATGAGTGACACGCAAGGCACCAGACCGAACGTTTTCGCGGACAAAATGAAAATCTAATGCCAGGTGCTTCATACGGGAGTGGAATACCAGGTTGGCGCTGAGATATGTGGCGTCTACACAGGGCCGGTCCTGGGCCAAGCCTAATGAAACATTAGCTTTGGGTCCCCAAATTTTTTGAAAAAAGTTTCATGCATATAGGTCCCTAAAAATTTTTTTTAGGCTCCCAAATCCATAAGAAATTTTTTTTTAGCTGAAATTGTTAAAAATTGGCCTTAGGCCCCCTTATTTTCAGGGCCGGCCCTGCGTCTACATTATCACAATAAACAGCTGGAGAATTTGTAAGAGTGACACCTAGTTCCGTAAGTAGCGAACATACCCACTTCATCTCTGCGGCTGTGTAGGCAACTGCTCTATATTCTGCTTCCGTCGAAGATCGAGCAACTACAGTTTGTTTCTTTGAGGACCAAGCGATAGGTGTGGAGCCAATGAAGAGAATAAAGGCGTTGGTGGAGATGTAATCATCCACATCGCCTGTCCAATCAGCGTCCGAGTAGGCATGTAGAGAGAGTGGTGTGTTCCTGCGCAACATTATGCCATGCGAGAGAGTACCCGCTAGATAACGCAAGACGCGTTTTTCTGCTTGTAGATGATCATCAGTGGGACAATGCATGATCTGGGAGAGACGGTTGACATTGTAGGCAATGTCTGGCCGTGTGATAGACAAATACTGCAGGCTGCCGACAATCATACGAAAATCACGAGGATCAGCGATCGCAGTCCCTGAGTGAAGTGTAAGTTTGGGCGAGACAGACATTGGCGTGGTGAGAGGCTTCGCATCGAGCATCTTAGTTATGGTTAAGAGATCAATAATGTACTTGCGCTGCATGAGATGGAGGCCAGCAGAAGTGCGAGTGGCTTCGACGCCCAAAAAATAGTGGAGATCCGTCGGTTCTTTAAGGGAGAACCTGGTGGAAAGAACGTGTATGACGCCGCTGACCAAATTGGCACTACTGCCCGTTATGATTATATAGTCGACGTACACCAGTATGTAGACGATATGAGTGCCATTGAGGTAGACAAAAACCGATGTATCAGCCACAGAGTCCGTGCATCCCATTTGCATAAGATAGTTCCAGAGTTCTTGATACCAAGCACGAGGTGCTAGTTTAAGTCCATAGAGGGCCTTTTTGAGACGACATACATGATGCGGCTTGTCAAGATCAACAAAAACGGGAGGTTGAGAGACATACACTTCATCCGTAAGAGTGTCTTGAAGAAAAGCATTGTTAACATCGAGCTGTTTGATAGGCCATGAGCGAGTGACTGCAATCTGAAGAACAAGACGAATTGTGAGGGTCTTGACAACCGGGCTGAATGTCTCAGCGTAGTCAATTCCATACTCCTGACTACCTCCACGTGCAACCCATATCGATTTATACCTATCAAGAGAAGCATTAGTAAGAAACTTAATAGTATGAACCCATTTCGTTGGAATTACATGTTGAGTCGGTGACGGTGGAACCAACTCAAAAGTATGATTCCGAACTTGAGCATTGTACTCATCGGCCATAGAATTCCTCCAATTTGGATCACGCATAGCTTGGGCCATGGTTTTGGGTATGGTTGGTGTGGTAGATGTGGTTGCGGCGAGTAGAGTAAGTTTCTGAGTTGGTTTGGTAATCTTGTTTTTCAATCGGTTTTGCATTGGGTGGAAATTGGTAACAGGAGGAGTTGATGGTGCGGTTATTTGTGGGGAAGGCACGGTTTCTGGTTCAGTTTGAGTAGCTGATGAAGGCGGGTGATGATCAGGTTGAGAAGAAGAGGAGGAAGAGGAGACGGTGGGTGTGGGAGATCTTTGCTCATCAACCTACACAAAACCAATATCATTACCTGTTGAAGTATTTCCTGGAGTATTTCCTGGGTGAGAATCCGTACACGGGGGTGCAGGCGCGACATAGTGTACGAGTGGTGAGATAGGAACTTGGGTAGCTGGAGCATAGACCGGGTTTGAGAGCTCGACGCCATCTGGAGAAACCTCTGCCTGCTTGGGGTATGGAAACTCGGTCTCAATAAATTGCACATGGCGAGAGGTGTACAAACGTCCACTAGGAAAATAAAGACACAAGTAAGCGCTTTGCGTCAACGAGTAACTCAGAAAAATACAAGGCAGTGAGCGGTCGGTGAGTTTGTGTTGAGCATATGGTCAGAGCCATGGGAAACACATACACCCGAACACGCGAAGCTTGAGGTAGTTAGGTGGTTTGTTGAAGAGTTTCAGTATGGCAACTGATGAGAGAGAATTGGTGAAGGAAGACGGTTGATGAGGTATACTGCAGCCGCAAATGAATAGGTCCAGTAGGTGGTAGGTAGGCTAACTTGGTGAAGGAGAGTCAGGCCTGTTTCAACAATGTGGCGGTGCTTGCGCTCGGCGATACCGTTGTGTTCTGGAGTGTGAGGTGGAGATGTTAAGTGTGAGATCCCATGTGACGCGAGAATGAACCGAAGTGCAATATACTCGCCTCCATTGTCGGAGTAGAGGTTTCGGATGGGTTTGTCGAAATGTTTTTCCACCAATGCCTTGAAGAGAATAAAAGTTTCTTTGACTTGGGATTTTTGTTTCAGTGGATAGAACCAAGTGTATCTGGTGAAATGGTCAACAAAGATTAGGTAATATTTGAAATTATCAATAGATAGGATAGGGGAGGTCCAGACATCGGTATACAAGTATTCAAGAGGTTGAGTGGAAGAGATAGTATTGGTATGAAATGTAAGTTTGTGGCTTTTATTACTTAAACAATGAGAACAAGGAGTTTCTTTTTGAGATGAAGAAGACAAAGGCAACACGAATTTAGAAATAATAGATTGCAAAACAGGAAAAGATGGGTGTCCCAAACGAGAGTGCCAAGAAGCAAGGGTAGTTTTTGGTGTAGGTGAGGCAAAAAGGGAGATGGTGTTGGAGGTATTAACTGGCCACTCGTACAGTTTATCTCTAGTCTTGCCTTGGAGTAACCGGACCCCCGTGTTGAGATCCTTGACCTGAAAATGAACAGGAAAGAATTCAACACAAAGTTATTTGAGTTGCACAAGCGATAAACAGAGATAAGGTTACAGTGAAGGTTAGGAACATATAGTATATCGCGCAAAGTAAAAGATTGGTTAAGAGAGTTTAAAGTAGTGGACCCCGTGTGCGAGATTTGAAGGCCAGAGCCGTCGGCAATAGTTACATCTTCTCCACCCGTGTACGGCTGGTGAAGCGCAAGGTTACCGAGATCAGTCGTCAAATGGTGTGTAGCGTCACTATCTAAGATCCAGTTTCCCGGATTGTAACTCTGAGCAGTAACCATGTTGGCGCTAGGCTGCCATGCGGTAGGAGAGGGCGTGTAGGCCTTGGAGTTGGCGGAAGAAGCACCAGGAAGCTGTGGACATCGACGTGCGCTGTGTCCATGAACTGAACAAATCTGACAACGCCCTTGGTTTGAAAGCGCAAGATTAGTGTAGTACAGAAACTAGAACACACAGTAATGCAAGAGTTATCTTTCCAAGAAAAATACGACTAGATTAATCCTTTTAAAAGCAACTACAAGTTCTTTTGAAAAGCAATTCTCAATAAGACTCAAGAACAACTTGACTTATTGACTAGCCTAATCAATTCACGACTTACCCTAGTCGATGAANTAATCCTTTTAAAAGCAACTACAAGTTCTTTTGAAAAGCAATTCTCAATAAGACTCAAGAACAACTTGACTTATTGACTAGCCTAATCAATTCACGACTTACCCTAGTCGATGAATTGCTTCTAACTCTTAGAGTGCTTTGCCTTACCTTGCTCGGTTTCACAAACCTCTATCTAGCTAAAAGATCACCCAGTGTGTTAACCGACTACAACCCAGTCGACCCTCTCTTTATACCTAGAGAGAAAACCCTAAAACTACCCAATGGAAACTTTCCATTTTCTATTTCAGCGAATAAGACAACCTTCTTCTTTTCTTCATCGGTTGCTTATTCTCCACTCCTTTTCCTTAAAACCCACGCCTTGATATCTTCACCTCTTTATAAAAGACTCCTTCCTTTTCTTGCTTAGCTCTCCACTCCACGTTTCACCCAGTAGTTCATGTCGTGCTTCATGAACTACTTCAGCTCCGTCCTTGAACTACTTCAGCTTTGTCTGCACCATACATCTTCAATCTCCCCCTTTTTAATCTGTGCGTCTCACAAGCACCTGAGATGAATAGAACAGTGCACACACAAACAAGCAACCTCGAGAAAACAATTCATGTAATCAAAAGTACTTAAATATTCGAAGCACACACAAAGGTCACATACTTAATACATCTCCGAAAAGATAACACACATAAGTACTCCCCCATAATCTACGAATTGTCTTAAAACAGAAATCAAAACCAGTTGCAGCAAGTGGTGCAACCAGTAAGTACAATGCAAACAAGGTTCAAGAAATAGCAAAACAACAACATTGCTCCCCCACAAAACAACATTGCTCCCCCATAGTCTTAGCCTTTATCTCAGTCTTCTCCCCCTGCTTGTGAGCACACAGGTTAAAAAAAAACACTGAAGATATTAAGAATAATCAACAGAGTAATAGGGAGACGAACCAGAGACAGATCGAGAGAGATCGGCAACGATATCAGTCAGTGCTCGCAGAGCTGCAGCCGTGTCTTGAAGTGCCTCCTGAAGCTCTTCCTGAGTGATCAGCCCC